TATTTATGTAATATTATTTCAAATGTTAAAAAATTTAATTATAGTACGGAGTCGAACCGAACCGAACCCGAATGGTTCCAAAATTATATTTGGAACCGACGGTTCCATTTACTAAATACCCAAAAATTTCTGGAACCGAAAAAAATCGAATCGAACCGAACCGCGCCCACCCCTAAAGACAACACAAATCATTCACTTGTTTAAGGTTGATCAACATTTGATGTACGGTTCCATTTACTAAATACCCAAAAATTTCTGGAACCGAAAAAAATCGAATCGAACCGAACCGCGACCACCCTAAAGACAACACAAATCATTCACTTGTTTAAGGTTGATCAACATTTGATGTCTTGTATCAGTATATATGACTTCGGATTCAAATCAGAGTTTATCAAGAATATACAAATCAAGTTCAGGTATATTCATATCAATTATACTCTTTTTATGTAAAATCTTATTCTTACATCGACTGCCTCCCTCGCCCTCAGAATCTTATAACCACGATTGATTTGTTCTCCGTTTCACTCAATTATTGATCTTTAATTATTTTGTTTCTCTGTCAATTGTTAACTGGAATGTGGACCAGCAGTTGTTGCTTGGCTTCGCCTTTCACCATCAAAATAATATTTTTGCACGACTTAATTATTGACATTCACTCTTTTCCAGTATTTATTTATACTTTTTTAAAAGTCTGTGCACTGAAATTATCTGGACCCCACTCATGTGGACTCTAGTCTTTCATTTACTGGTTTCTATTTTTAGATGCCTTCACTTTGAATCATTTTCACCCATTTTCAATCAATTCAACTAAAAAAGCTTGCCTCTCTTTGTAGAGGGAATCAAACGATTAGGTGCCATGGGACAAAAGAAAGCACTTGAATAATTTACATTATAGTTATAAATTTTTTAATTTATAAATTAATAAAAATGAGTGATGGACTAATTCGTATTTTTATTAAAGGCAGCACAAATTTAGAATAACGAACTTGAATTCATGCCGCTACATTAATCTAACTCTCTTACTTCATTTTTTTTTTTTTGTATTATTTGAAATTAGATATCTGTATATGCTTCGAATAAATGTCTAAGATGAGTAGAGATCAACTATTCCTGAACGATCACGCAGTTGTCCCCAGTCGAAAAATGTACACATCATAAAAAAATGACAACACAGAGACATTATAATGCCAAAAAATGTACTTACTTGAACATGTCAATGAGCGATCAAGAAGACCCATGTGCGCTTTAGAGCGGCGCTTGTCTAAGACCAGCCCAAGCGATCGAGCGTATATCATAATTTGTGTATGCGACACCAGCCCATTTTTTATTTGTTTAAAAAAAATAAGACCCTTAAAATTAATGGTAACATGGACAAGACCTATATCTGCATCATGCTTTTCCATGAACTTTAAATGAATGAATTTGTGATGATCCGGAATCTGGATCAATTTGAGATGCCAAATTCCCATTCACCATTAAAACAAGGGAAATACTCAACCAACCATTGCCAAGTCGATTCACATTTTTTTTTTCCTCAGGAAAAATCTCCATTAAAAAATTCTTATCCACTATCATAATCTTAAATCAATTTTATTTTATCTTTGCAATTGCTTTCCAGTTGGTGGCGACGGTGGTTAGCAAAAGAAAACCCCTTTTTCCCTTTCTCCGACAATGCTATTGTGTACTTAAGGCACCCAAATTCGACTTTACCCACCGGGAAATTGAACAATGGCGGATACTCAACGGCGGCCACATGCAATTATGATTCCATACCCTTACCAAGGTCACATCAATCCTTTTGTGTATTTGGCCATGAAATTGGCATCACAAGGCTTCACAATCACCTTCGTCAATACCCAATCCGTCCATTTTCGAATTTCCAAAGCCCAAACGCAGAACGGTAGGGAAGACATTTTCACCAAAGCGCGTGAATCTGGTCTGGATATTCGCTACGCGACGGTTTCCGATGGTTTTCCGATGGAGTTTGATCGGTCGGTGAATCACGATCAGTTTGTGGAGGGTTTGCTGCATGTATTCTCGGCTCATGTGGATGAACTTGTAAGGAATTTAGTTAAATCAGATCCGCCTGTTACTTGTATAATTGCTGATACTTTCTATGTATGGACATCCGCCATTGCCACAAAATATAATCTTGTTAGTGTGTCGTTTTGGACTGAACCGGCTCTGGTATTGACCTTGTATTATCACCTGGAGCTCCTCAAGAAAAATGGCCATTTTCCTTCCAATGGTACGCCCTCATTCCCTCTAGTTTTCCTTTTCTTAGTATAAAAATTCGTGTTCTAAAAAACGTAAAGCAAATGTTAGACGTAAAAAGTGTAAAGTATGGTTATACACTAACGCTAAATTTTGTGTTTAGGGTTCATACAGGCGTGCTTTTAGAACACTGATTTGAAACCTTAGAGGGCAATTAAGCTTAGTAATGGACAAATAATGAGAGTGATCAGAAGGTGTCAAGCTTAACTCGACATCTTGATGTTCTTATTCTTGTCTTACAAATTATTGTAACATAACCGTTATCGTTCAACTCGAACTTCTTAAGGATGGGCAGAATGGTTTGCAATTTGACATTGAAAATTGAAACAAGTTTGTCTTTTAGGACATGAACATAAGAATACCAAGAGTGGAGTGGTTGTGACTCGTGATTGGCCAATTTACCTATTGGAAGGTCCAATCGCTTTCAATTGAATAATGTTATTTAGCTCTATTGGTGCTAGAGTATCAGTCTATGTGACATTATGTAATATACTGAATTAAAGGTGAAATTATATTATTCATTTAATTTTGTGTATCATTTAATGACATTTTGTGCCACATGTTGCAACAGTTATACTAAATACCATTACTCTTTGATATGAGCATCTTAATACTTTCAACTGTGTTTTAATTATTTTTGGGTGCGACCTTTTTTAATACTATAAATGCTACTTCTGTTAGATAATCGCAAGGACACCATAGATTACATACCGGGAGTGAAGGCCATCGAACCAAGCGACCTTATGTCATACCTTCAAGCGGATGACATAAGCACGGTGGTACACCGGGTAATTTACCGGGCTTTTGAGGATGTGAAAAAGGCTGACATCATTATCTGTAACACAGTCCAAGAACTAGAATCTGAAACACTTTCAGCCCTACATGTCAAACAACCAACCTACGCAATTGGACCCATTGTCTCTGCTGGATTCAGCAAGCGGACCGTGTCCACAAGCCTCTGGTCCGAGTCGGATTGCACCCAGTGGCTAAACACCAAGCCCAATGGGTCTGTTCTGTACGTTTCATTTGGAAGCCACGCACGTACTGCTAGTAGAAAAGATATTTTGGAGATAGCTCATGGTATTTCACTGAGTGGGGTGAATTTCGTTTGGGTGATCCGACCCGATATCGTGAGCTCCAATGAAACTGAAATTCTTCCCGCTGGATTCGTAAAAAGCATGAAAGGAAGAGGATTAATTGTGCAATGGTGTAGCCAAATTAAGGTGATTTCACATCCGGCGATTGGGGGATTTTTATCGCATTGTGGATGGAATTCGGTACTGGAAAGTATATGGTGTAGCGTGCCATTAATTTGTTTTCCGTTATTCACCGATCAATTTACTAATCGGAAATTAGTGGTTAACGATT